TAATGTACAGTAAAAGCAGGAACGACCCAATAAACAGAGTCTGTATAAAGCAATTCCCAGGGGGGAAACCTGGTAGTGTTGCTCTCCCACTCTGGGTAGCCCCTGCCTTCGCTATGTCGCAAAACAAATCCTGATGTTCTTGCTTTTCAGTTTTTGTCATAAAAGGGAGCATCTTCTGATTCCTTTTGGTTAGCAAAAGCATGTACTCTGTGAAGCCTTTTGTACAACTGAAGAACTTTAGAAAAGCAGGGCATACTTTTCCATTGTATGGGCACAATGGAATTTTATTGAGCTTCAAAAGGAAAAGCCTTGGATAAACCTTGAAGATATTATGCTGAGTGACACTTAAATAGCTTGAATTTGGGCCTTCCCTGGTGGCAGAGTGGGTTAAGGCACAGCTCTATTAAGCTATCTGGAGTCACTGCAACAAGAGTTCAATCCCTGGCCTTGGAGATGGAGATGACCCACATGGCGCAGCAGACCTTTTCCTGCCTCGCCCGCTGCTCCCCTCAGCAGTGTGCTTCCTTCATCTACCTGTTCTGCTCCCCACTCTGACTCTGGTGAATCCTCTCACTGCCCCTGCACCTCTGGCCTGTACCCCAGTTCTGTGTGCATAAATAAATAAATTTATTTAAAAAATAGCTTGAAGAACTTTTAATGGAGATTGAATGGGAACCTCATGTATATACATAGTGCACTCCATAAATAGAAGCTGCTAATGTTAATTGCTGTGGTAGAACGTTCCTAACTTCTAGGAATCATTTTTAATTTTTGTGCTCCGTGTGTGATTTCTGTCTTCACTGTCCTTCAATGATACTGTGCCATGGAGGCAGAGACATAGGAACGGTAAGGTCAAAACCTGTTTGCCTGTTTCCTAATCCCACACCCTGGCAGACATCACTAATCAACCCTACTCCTACTCAGCCTTGCTGCGGAGGTCTCCAGCTTTCCAGGCAGCCACTAGCAATCAGTCAGAGATGACATGCAAAATGAAACCAGTTGTCTCCATTCCAGAACAACGTGGCAAAGCTTTCTTACTTTTCTTTTTTTTTAAGATGTATTTATTTATGTATACAGAAGCGGGGTACAAGTCAGAGGTGCAGGGGTGGTGAGAGGCTTCACCAGAGACAGAGCGGGGAGCAGAACAGGCAGATCGATGAAGTACACGCTGAGGGGAGCAGCAGGCGGGTCAGGAGAGGTCTGCCGCGCCATGTGGGTCACTTCCAGGACCAGGGATCGAAATCGCACTAAAGCAGCTGCAGCTCACTGGCAGTTGTGCCACTGGAACCAGTTGTGCCACCAGGGAGGGCCAACATGGCAGTTTTCTAAAAACAAACTAGGTAGTAAATATTATAGATGTGGTCTCGATCACATTTTTTTCTTTGTGTTTTCACTTGTTTTGTTTACAATCCTTTAAAATGTAAAAAGCATTTTTACTCTCTCAGCCGTATAAAACACCCTGCCTTAGAACCTTGAACCCAGACTCAGAAGCTGTCCCAGAGAACCAGGCACCATCTAATCTCTCTGCAGGGTTCTGTAGGCCCAATGAACACTTGGCAGTGCTGCTTCAGTCAGAAGCACCCCCATGGAACAGCCTGAATTGCCTGAAAAATAACAGGGGAGCTTTGATGAGAGGAGAGATCCAGTTCTCATCAGACCAATGCTAGCACAAGCTGACAGCCCTCTCCCGGGAAGCCACACCCAAGCAAAGCTGCAAAGCCGATGCACATCATGGCCTACACTTCCGCCTCCAGAGCCAAACTCACTGTGAGACTCCTTCAAAGAACTGAACTTCTTCCCCCACCAATCAAATCCGAGATGTCCAAGCTTTTTATGAAGGAAACAAGGAAAGCGTTCAGGTCCCTACAGTTCTCTGTTGTTTGCAATTTAAAAATACCTCTGTGGCCCTCCCTGGTGGCGCAGCGCGTTAAAGCACAGCACTGAGAAGCTAAAGCCGCTTTCGCATGAGTTCGATTCCCGCCTGCCCCGGAGGAGACCACATTGCGCAGCAGACCTCTCCTGGCCCACCCGCTGCTCCCCTCAGTGTGTACTTCGTCGATCTGCCTGTTCTGCTCCCCACTCTGTCCCTGGTGAAGCCTCTCACCACCCCTGAGCCTCTGGCCTGTACCCCAGTTCTGTATGTACAAATAAATAACTCTTTAAAAAAAAATGGTTCCAAAATGATATGCCACATTTCTTTCATTCTGATTTTTTTTCTTTGATTCTCCAATATTTCCTTTTTCTTTTTCCATTTTTTTTTCCTTAAAGATTTGTTTATTTGGTGATGGGAAACCCAAGGGGATTGCAACTAAGATGGAAAACTGCACAAAATATGTAAAAATAAACTAAAATAAGATAATAAAAAATATAATAATAAATTTTTAAAAAAGATTTGTTTATTTGTGCATACAGAACTGGGGTACGTACAGGCCAGAGGTGCAGGGCAGCAAGATGACTCATCAGAGACAGAGTGGGGAGCAGAACAGGCAGATCAATGAAGTAGGCTGCTGAGGGGAGCAGCAGGCCGGTCAGGAGAGGTCTGCCGTGCCATGTGGTCACCTCTGGGGCAGGTGGGAATCGAACTCATGCTGCAATGGCTTTAGCTTCTTAGTGCTGTGCTTTAACCCCTGCGCCACCAGGGAGGGCCCCTTTTTCCGTTGTTTTGTTTTTTTCTTTTTAATTATAAAGTAGTATATATAAAGATTGGTTTGGCTCCTCTCTCTATTATTCTCTGGCTTTAGTGAAAAGGACTGAATGAACTTTGCTCTATTGAAGTTCATTCTTTCATTGAAAAAACCTTGACTGACAGTCACAATCCATCTCTCAAAGCACTTGAAGGTAGGGATGACTGATGTGTAGATGTTGGTGCAAACTGATGGGGGTTCTGCTTGGGTAATGAGGCAGCAAGAGGCAAAGAGCAGCTCCATCAGCAGCTGGGGGTGCGGCCAGGAGGGCAGGGGATGCCATGAGCTCTGCTAGAAAGTTGCCTTGCTGCAGTTTAGTTGAAGAATGCACAGGAGTTAGCCGGGGAAAGAAGCTGGATGACAAGGGCTGAGATTCAATGACTTAGGCCAGGGTTACACAGAGGGAGGCTTTGGAGATGAGGCTGGTAAGAAAATAAAGGTGGAGTCATCACAGTTCCTGGAGTTTAAACTACAGCCTGAAAGCCACAGAAAAATCTCTGAAGGAAATTAAACAGAAAGAAGGACTTAGATTTTTGTTCTCAAATCAAGAGTTCCAGTCACAATTTAGAGAAGCAATTGCAGTAAGAAGGTCCTGATTTGGAGCAAGGCGCCTGGTTATGAAGGCAATTGGAGCAATTCAGGCAAGAAGTGATGGGGTTATGAACTAAATCAGTGACAGTAGGAGCAGAAAGGAGGGCACAGACGAGCAAAAACAATAGGGAGAGCTCACAGATATGCAGCGCTCACTCTGTGAAACACGCTGCTTAGGCATTCATTTTACCTTCCTGACAAGCCTGAGAGAGGTTTGGTACCAATTATAAACCTCTTGCCATAGAGCAGGAAACAAAGATGAAGAAAGGAGCTCACAGTTCAAGAGCTCAGCCTGTCTCCTCAGAACTCAAGCCTGGCTTTGGATCAGGCTGGCTACTGAATCCATCTCCTCACAGCCCACGGTCCTGGCACACTTACAAGGAGGCACTAAGTGGCTGAAATGGAGACATCAGTGAGGCCTCCACTGTCTGCCCTTGGGGAAGCTGAACACTTGGGTTTCAGCTTCTTGAACTTCTTCCTCCGAAGGAAGTTCCTCCCCAAGTTTGTACCTGCCCCAACCCCGCCCCCCACAACACACTCCCACCATCTCACCACCATCCCCTTCTGCTTTGCAATCCTTGAGTCCTGCATTTCACCCTCAAACACAGGCTTCTCCCAGTTGGAGTTAAAAAAATAATAATAATAACACCTCACAAGCATTGCCAATTAAGTGAGAAACCTCACAGTGACCCCTGCCCTTAGTAATATAGCTGCGAAGCTCTGTTATTTTCAAATCAGTCAAAACTGGGGAAACTAACTCGCCCTTGTGGTTTCCTTCTTCACTAAGTAGACCTTGGCAGGCCTGAAACTCAAGGTAGGTAGCTGCCTATGGAACAGAATATTCACCATAGTTTGGGCCAGCGTTTAACAACAGAAGCACACTGGGTCGCCAGGCCTGCAGCCTCACACAGCACCACAGAGCCCCACAGGAACAAAGTGGCCCCGACGGCGGGGGAGACTTTGAGAGAGCCCAATGGCTTTCTTTCTCCAGGCTTGAAAGTTAAAGCAAGCATCTGCAGCGAGAAACTTGTGTATTTCCTGCGGACAGGGAGACCTCCTGCCCCTCCCGGGCTGATACAACCCACTTTGCACATCCTGCTTCTCTGGAAGCTAAAAATAAATCGGTATGCACTGAAAAACACTCAAACACATCTCTCTAGCACACCCCTTCCCGAGTCCCTGCAGTAAGAGATGCAAATCTGTCAGCTCCAGAGTCCAGAGTGCAGACCACTGCTCTCTCCGGCCCTAGCATCTTCGGCAGCTCCGGAGATTGCCACGCCAGACACCCTCCCTGACACAGGCCTCCTTCCGCACTGGGGTTGGCGGTTCGCAAACCCGGGAACCAGCTAGCGCACACGACCCCAACCTGCTCCCCACCCGCCGAGAGCGAAGCCCTGTGAGCGCCGGGGGAGGTGCGCGGACGCCCCCTTCCGACCCAGCGCGCCCCCTTCCAGCCGGCCCCGCGCAGCTCCGCGCGTCCCTCTGCAAAGTTGCTCTCGGCTCTTCAGCCACCAGCCTGAGGCGCTTGGGCTTTCGTCTTATTTTCCCAGAGAGGCTTTAGGGAAAGGAAAGGGAAGCTGAGCAGTAAACAGCCCAGGGCAGGGCTGCAGAGACCGGGTCCCCAGGGCTGCCGGCTCCTCACACCCACCTCTGCACCCGCCGCTCCCGGAGCGCGCCCGTACCCCGAGCTGCGGCTCCCGGCGCCGCCGCCCCCAGCACACCCACCCGAATCTCCAGTCCGACTCCGCGCTGGCTCCCGGCAAGCAGAGAAGACGCTGCGACTCGCCGCCTCGACCGCTCCCGGCGTCTGTGTCGCGGCGCGGGCGAGGCGCCGGCAGCGCCTTCCCTCCGCCCGCCTCCCCCTGGACAGTATCCCCGCCAGCCGCTCCCCCTCCCCAGCCGCGCCCTCCGCCTCCCTCCACGCTGCCGCAGACCCCCACCACTACCCCCAAAGACCCTAACGGGGCTGGGCTGCCGGGTGCACGGGGGGCCGGGCTGAAGCGCGGGGCCTGCAGGTGTAGTGGACGTCTCCACCGCGCCCGGTGGCCTGGCTCAAGTCCCTTGTGGCCCCTAGTCCTGGCTCAACGCCTAGGTTTTCGTCTTGCTACACTAGCACGCTCCGTGTTCGCCTATTCGGGTCGCGGGACGGTCAGATTCAGCCTAGGGCACCTTCTTCTGACTAAGGGACCCTGGGGGCTGCAGTGGAAAAAACTGAAGGAAGCTCAACAGTCGGGAGGGGCTGCTATGGAGTAATCCAGAGTCTCCAGGGAGTTCTTTAGGGATGGCTTCAAAATCTCAGGTGGATGTGTGAATGCCCTTCCCTCCATCCCGGCCACTGGAGATGAAGAGAACCATTTGCCTTGGCTGATGCTGTCGACCTATATACAGCGGCCGCAACATGTTCTTGTCTGGCTGTGTTGTCCACTCGTGTCCTCTCAAAAGCCACTGCAATATCTTGTGCTTGTCAACCCCAGCGACATTTCCAGAATCCACAGGTCTCCACAACAACTCAAAATACTTCATTGAAACACTTGTTGGGGGCCCTCCCTGGTGGCGCAGCGGGTTAAAGCACAGCACTAAGAAGCTAAAGCCACTTTCGCATGAGTTCGATTCCCGCCAGCCCCGGAGGTGACCACATGGCGTGGCAGACCTCTCCTGACCTGCCTGCTGCACCCCTCAGCAGTGTACTTCGTCGATCTGCCTGTTCTGCTCCCCACTCTGTCTCGGGTGAATCCTCTCACCACCCCTGCACCTCTGGCTTGTACCCCAGTTCTGTAGGCACAAAATAAAAAATAAATCTTTAAAAAAAAAAAAAAAAAAAGCACTTGTTGGAGGTGAAATAACAAAGCTGTAAAGGCCCATGGGCTGGTCTTGCTATAGTGAGAGTGAAGTCTCCTAATATGACTGGTTATGGAAATGACACTAGCATTTGATTTGAAAAGGAAGTAAGATGTTCACCTGACCAACACCGTCCTTTATTAGTTCTCTCTTGGGTTTCCACACTTCTACAGTCAATGCTTGAAAAAGAAATCATGGACATATTTGTAGATTTTTGTGTGGATGTGTTTTTAATTTCTCTTCGGTATATCTAGGAGTGGAATGGTTCTATCACATAGTAACTCTACCTTTAACGTTTTGAAGACCTGCCATGATGTTTTCCAAGGCAGCTGCACCCTTTTACATTCTGGTTGGGTAAAGCATTCCATTTCTCCACATCCTTACCAGAATTTGCATTCACCATTTTTTAATTTACCATCCTAGGAGATATCAAGTGGTACCTCGTTGTGGTTTTGATTTGTACTTTCCTAATGGCTAACGATGTTGATCATGTTTTATGTGAATCTTCTTTGGAGAATTGTCTATTCAGTCAGATCTTTTGCCCATTTTGTATTAGGCTATCTGTCTTTCCATTATGCAGATGTAAGAGTTGCTTTGTAAGCTGCTTTGCAATGCTTTGCAAGTCAGGATAAAGACCATAAAATATAGCCTAGTTTGGAACTTATTTTGAGAACAATGTATAGCCATTGAAGGCTCTTTTTAAATTTATTTTTAGCTTTAGGTAAAATTCACTTTTTAAAGGAACAGTTCTGCAAAATTTGACAAATGGATAACTGTCATCATCACCACCTTCAAGATCCAAAACAATGTCATCACCTATAGTTTTGTCTTTTCAAGAACACCCTAAAGGTGCTCACATGGTATGTACCCCACGGTAGACAGCTTTACAGGTCTGGCTTCTTTCACTTAGCACAGTGTCTGTGAGGCACATTGGTGTGGAGAGTATCAGTGTTTTGTGCACCCTTTTGAATGGTATGAATGCACCACAAGTTATTAATCCATTTGCCAGTAGGACTTGGGAAATGTAGGTTATTTCCAAGTTAGGTTATTCCAATTTCTGTTATTTCCAATTCAGAACAATAATGCATAAAACTTTTTGAATGGTTACTATAAATATTGGCCTAGGGGTTTGTGTGTGACTAGAACTTACTTCATTTACATAAATCTGTTGGACTTGGATTGCTGGATCCATGGTCATTGTACATGTATGTCTATGAGAAGCTGCCAAAGTGCTTTTGAAACTGCGTTCCCAACAGCAATAGAGATGTGTTCCGTGTTCCAGAAGTTCTGTATCCATTCCAGGACTAAATATTGCTAGGCAGTTGTTATGTTGTTTTGTTTTGTTTTAAGCCACTTTAAATGGCATGTAGTAATTTGAATTTGTACTTCCCCAATAACTAATGATGTTTAACATCTTTTTATGTGTTTATTTGCCACCTATTTCATTCCATTGAAGTGTTTTTCAAAAATTTCCCTTTCTTAGTCACTTCATTTGCTTGTTTACTGATACATTTTAAATGTCCTTTATACAAATGGGAAACAAATCCTTTGTCAGTTATAAAATTTACAAATAGTTTTTCTCCCAGTGAATGGTGTGTCTCTTCATTTTTTTCTCATGGTTGTTCACAGGGCAAAAGTCTTTATTTAGATGAAATGTAGTTTATCATTTTTCCTTATGTATTATCCTTTTGGTAATAACTTGTCTTATCCTAGGTCATAAAGGTTTCTCCTTAAATTTTTTATAGAATTACATTTTATATTTAGGCCTATGATCCACTTTGAGGTTATTTTTGTCTATGATATAAAGGATGAATCAAAGTTCATCTCTTCATGCTGGGATATTTTTCCAACATCATTAATTTAATAGATTTTTTTTCTCCATTTAATTGCCTAATATTGTCCTCAAAAATAGTTTCTCCCATCTGTGTGGATATATTTCTGGACTCACTATTCTGTTCCAGGGGTCTATATGTCTATCCTTTTGCCTCACCACACTATCTAGGTTACAATATAGGTGTTTTTTTGTTTACAGGCCAGAGATGCGGAGGGTGAGAGGATTCACCAGGGACAGAGTGGGGAGCAGAACAGGCAGATGGACAAAGTACACTGCTGAGGGGAGCAGCAGGCGGGTCAGGAGAGGTCTGCCACGCCATGTGGATCTCCTCTGGGGCAGGCGGGAATCGAACTCATGCGGAACTGGCTTAAGCTTCTTAGTGCTGTGCTTTAACACGCTGCGCCACCAGGGAGGGCCACAATATAGGTTTTAATCAGTCCTAAAGTCAAGTGTTATAAACCCTCCGACTTTGTTCTTCTGTTTCAAAATTGTCAGTTCTATTCTAGATCCTCTGCTTTTCCATATACATGTTAGAATCAACTTGCCAATATCCATAAAATTTCCACTAATACTTTGGTTGTGATTGCATTGACTCTGTAGCCCAATTGGGGAAAACTAACATCTTAAAATGACCAGCCTTACAATCCATAAACACAAATAAGTTCCTTTTAAGTTTTTTTCAATGTCTTTCACCAGTTTTACAGGTTGAACATAAAGATCCTGTCTGTTTTTTATAGTCTCATAACCCATTATTTCTCTTCCCAAGCACTGTTAAAACTGCATATTTCAATTTCCAACTTATTATGGTTTCTTAATGGTTGATTTTCATAAGTCAACCTCATGTCCTATGACCTTGAAAAATTCATTTACCAATTCTAGGAACTTCATATAGTTTCCTGGGAATTTTCTATCATAATATTAACAAATAAATATAGTTTTTTTCTCCTTTTCCAATCTGTATGGCTCTTATTTCTTTTTATTATTATATTGTACTTGCTATAACTTTCAGTTTTATGTTGAATAGAAATGGCAAGAAAAAATATCCCTGCGTTGTTCCCCATTAGTCTATGATATTATTTTGGGCTGTCTTCTCTGGAGGGAGTAAAGGTGTGATCTATGTGTTTTAGAATCTGTATTCATAAAAATCACCCTCTACCTACCACCAACCCCACTCTGTAGGTGATTCTGATGTCCAGATAGAGACCACCATTCTAAAAGAAACTTTTGCTACTCTGGTTCTTAAATGCTTAGAGAGAAGCTCCCTTATTCAAGAACAAATAGTTATTCAGTGCTTTCTATATGCTAGGTGTAGTTTTGTACACTCTCTATATAGTTATATTACAGTTCACTCGGCCTTCCTTACCAACCTTAAGTCTAGTGGGGGAGTCTCACACATATGTCTATGTTATAAGGCAATATAAATGATCCAATGCACTTGTAGGTACTTGTTTTTACTCACTTTACAAGTATCTTAATTTCCTAAATCATTGAAGAAGAGAATGACTACTTACTGCATTCTAATAGAAACTAGTATGGTTTAGATCAAAGCTATATTCCTCATAGCCGCCTAAAGCTAATCTTTTCTGCATTTTGCCCACAGAGGTGTCTTCTTGATTGTGGAGGCTGAGAATTTGTAGGCTCTCTTTGAAATAATCTGAGCCTATCATCTTAATTAGGAATTTTTAATTTCCCCTCAAGTCTTTTTCTTCAACTTGAAAGCTCTTATTTCTTTTAAATGTTTCTTCCTTCTCCAACTGGGACTGATCAGATCTTCACACCCTACATCTAGACAATGATTTTTTTTTCCCTCCACAGATGTATTTAATAATATCTTCTACATCTACATTAATAACATACCTTCATTTAGTTACAGTCCATAAACTCTAAGAATATGCTGACATACCCCACCAAAGATGCAACATCACATCATCCGTAAGAGGGTTTTATTAGTCAGGAGTACCCACGGCTGCTAGCACAATGTTGCTCTTCATCTCCAAAGTACATATGCGAGAATGTAGCTTTCTGCCAGTGGTAGCTGAATGATCAGTTATTTTCTCAATAATTTCATTAATAACCATTTTGTGAGGTAAACAATTTTCACCCATAATACATTAAATATAGTAAATTGTTTTTATCTG